AGTGTGTTATATCCAGAATGTTTTCTAAGCTGTTCTAGATATTCTGGATACAGTCTTCAGGGTGCTTAGTCCCTGCAGACCTTCCACTATTAAGAGAAGGAAGGAGGCACATGTAGGATGGACTATCTGAAATACTATTTACAGCAATATTGCACTTTCTGAGGGTCTGATAACAAGCACTTAGTTTGATTTGCTAGCAAACACTTGAGAACAAGTAGTTCTGAAAGCAAAAGCAGTGCTGTGTGGTTCAAGGGCTGTCCAGAAATCCTGCTAATACAGATTTAATTATACACTCTCCACAAACTTTTCATGTAGCTGGGGACATGTTGACTATTCTTGACTTGGTTTCCCCATCTTTAGAACAGTCTCATACAGTCCTTCCTGTATATGTTGTGAGGTAAGAAATCTCCAGTTGTTTGGAGGTATTGTTAAATTCTGTGGAAAGGAATATAAATATCAACAGGAAGACTGAGCCCTTGCTTTAGAAAGATGACTTGCAATTTCAAGGAAGAGAATGGAACATGAGAAGTCAAAAAGGAATACTGACATTTTTAAAAAACAAAGCTGAATCAGAACATGTTATGTTTGCAGCTGCTGGGGTGTGAAAGTTCTTCCACAATGTGATAACCAGCATGAATTACTTTATTGCTCATAACAGATACAGATGGACAGATATCAGGGTGAAATGAAGGGCAGGGGCATTTGCAAAGTGACAGAGAATACTTTCCATCACATGTTGCTTGGAAATAAATGACTCTTGATCAGCTTTTCTGCCTTTCTTTATCTTCAGGAAACCTATGGCGTTAAGAAAACTAAAATTCTTTTAGGAAATGCATGCTGGTTTATGAGAATCTGTCTGTATTTTAAGGATGTTGTCTAAAATACCAGTGTTTCTCTTTTCATCATGACTCACAAGACTTGTGGTTTCCAAATGTATCAATTCAGCTTCCATCATGGGACTTGGATTACTCCATTCTTTGTCCCTTCTCCAATGTTATCAGTCATTGATAGAAGATAGAACAAGAAGTTTATTGTTCCCAACCTACACAAACATGATACCTGTATTTCTTGCTTGATGATCCACATTGCTTTAGAGTCAGGATTTAGTTCCCTGCCTTTTACATGCAGCAGCACCTGTAGGAGTGCTAGAAATGAAAAGAAGATATACACTCATAGCTTTTGTCAACATTAAAAAGAAAAAGGGATGAAGAAGGGGTTTCTGAAAAATGTGCAGAAAGATAATATTGTATTTTCACCCACAAGTGATGTTGGTATCTGTGTCCCCGTAGTAAATCATTGAAACTGGTATTCATACAGGCAAAGCATTAAAAATTAACTTCAATGTTATAGGTTATGGAATAAGCAATGTAGTACATTCCTTACTTTCACCTCGTAGCTACATTTCTAAAGGTTTGGTTTGCTAGGTGGTGGAGTTGGGGAATTCAATGTCCCTGCAATCTGTGCACTCTGTTTCAGTGTGAGGACTTGGGATGGGTACCCAGGAGAGGATCAGCTGAGCAATGCCCACAAATGCACTGGGATAGGTTTGTTTGCTGTTGCAGCTCCCATTTGGCTGTGTAACATTCAACAATGCATTCTGCTGGCATAGTCACTCCTTCAGTTGATTGGTGGTGTCATGCCATGACCCTGAGATCCTATTACTCAGAGAGGTTTTCAAAAAGAGAAAGAATGTGGAGAATTATTAATTTCATAGCCTAAAAATAAATAAAAGCAATTTCAGAAAAATAAGCCAAACCCAGAATGTGCTCAAACGTCATAAAGTGGTGTTACATGACAGCATGACCCTTTTTACCTTTGCAGGATGCATTCAGGAAGGGTCTTAACAGTGCCAATCAAACTCAGACAAAACCCCATCAATTTGTACTGATGAGCTATTGTTTATTTATATGTCATCCCTCCACCCTAAATTAGCAGAACGAATTTAAATATTGCCTTGAATACACAATGCAAATCTTTGCTTTTCTTCTGTCCTTTCCATGTCAAGCACCACCCCAACAAACAGTAATCATCAAAAACCCCATTAATAGGGATTGAGTTTGGGGAATATTCTCTAAATAGCCTGAGGATGATGATTCATTTACATCCATTAAGTACTTTTCCACAAAAGAATCCCTTTGAATAGACTTGATCCCAGCCAGTTTCATGTGGGCACTGCCAGGTGAGGAGTGCCAGGAAGATGCTGTTGGACAAGTGCAGGCTGTTATTGAAACCAAATTTACAACCCCCTTTCCCAGCACTGCTGTTTGCAAGGTTCCCCTCAAGGAATGGTATGGTAGGACAAATGCCAAATAGTTTTAAATAGAAAAGAAAGTTTATATTTTATTTGTTTCAGATAATCCCTAGTGGATGGACTTAGTGTGCAGCAGATTTGCAATTGGCCTAAGCAGTGGCAATCTTAAACTAAGCTCACTGAATTTGTGAGAACTAAGAGTTCGTGAAGAAGTTCAATTTGGATTTCACTGTGTTAGAAAGGGAATTTCAGGCTCCATCAGCCAAAGAGGTTGAAGGAAACAAATGTCAAAATTTTAGCCTAGAAATCTCGGTCCTGCTCCTTTAAGTCTTCTGTTTAATAGCAAAATTCACAGATTTGAGCAGGATAAACACCATTCCTGAGTTTGGCATACATGATGTGGGGATGCTTGTGATCCACTCTGGGGCCTGTGAAAACTGGGTCCATCAGCCAGGCTTTGGGGTAGATCTGAGGGGTTCTGGACATCTTGCAGCTGAATAAAGCTATTTAAGCTGAGCTCATTGGAAGCAGGTTGTTAGGGTATGTTTCCATTAGGACAGGTAAATGGTCTTACTTGGTCAGCAGTCACAAATTAAATTGCAAGGGGTTTGTAGGGCTGACACAAAGAGCTGTGCAGCACCTTGGACAGATGTGCTATGCTGCTGTGGAAGATGATATAGAAAAAAGCAAGTATTTTATGTTTTCATTTTCAAATTGAGCCCAGGCCCTCATGGAGTGAAAAAGTAGGAAGACACTTAGCCATCAAAGATGCTTACTAACACTTACTGCTTGTTTTGAAAAGCACTCTGAGAAATTCTCAAGGAACAAAGACGTTGCCTGGGGGGAAGTACAAGTTTCTGAAGAAATGCTTTTTTTTTTTTTTTTTTCCCTGTACTAGAGCTCCTTGAACATACTCAAATGTGGTGGGACAGTGACAAAACCTAAGATAAAAGTACTTATTTTAAGATGTGTATCTTGTTAAAAGAGCCAGGTTACTGGTGGGCTGAAGACTTTGTTATCTTTATGTTGTCAGAGAGACTCCTTGAAAAATCAGTGACAATCTACAGGAAAGAGTTACAGCTTCAAGGGAGGGGTTGGGTTCTACAGCTTGATCTTGCATACAAGGTGCTATAATGAACATGGACCTGAGTAAACTGCCTTCAAGTCACTCTGTCCCAGCAAACCTATAGACTGTGTGGACACTTAACATTCTGGATATGCTTTTATAAACTTCTGATGATGGTAATTTATCACTCTTCACAGAATGCATTGAATCTGCACTGTGGGTATTGCTGGTCCTTTTATCCACTCTGGGAAAAACACAAAAATATAAGAGAAACTGAGAAATAGTCAAAGGCCAGCCAAGGAAAAAAGCTGCCACAGAGACTGGTGGATGATTCACAGTTTTCAAATCTTTCTCCTCTGTCATAAGCATTCTGTTTCTTGAAAAAAAACCTTAAATCATTGCTGTGCAAAAAAACCCAAAAAGGGTTTCAAGAAGGAAACAAATGTTTAGAGAGTTGTCTTGGCTGGAATTTTCTCAGTACATATACTCTTGACATACCAGTGCTTAAACTTTTTATGCATGCATTAAGGGGGGACAGGGAATAATCAAATGTTAGTGAAGATGCCCCCATCTGTTTCATTATCTGAGGGTGTGAAGATGCTCTTTAGCTCACATAGTCCTTGCTCTTTCAGTTGCCAGGTGGTCTCACTGCCCAGATTTCACATCCAAACCAACTGTGAAGGACTTTTTTTTTGTTTCCCAGCCCGTGCAGAAAGAGGGTTCCCAGCAGTCCCATAGTCCCATCCTTTTTGCAGAAGGCAAATATGCAACATAGCCAGGTCTTTATTTAAGGATTCCTATCACCAGGACCTGGGAACCCTTTTCCTTTATTTATGAAATAAACACAGGTCAGTCCCTGCCACCCACATCAGATGTACTCAGTCCCCACTCGAAGAGCAAAAATGTTTTGCTCCAGTGCCCTGTCCTCCTCCTAGTGCTCCCTGGAGCAGCCAAAAATGTCCTCACCAAAAATCATCTGGCAAGGTCACCATCCAGGTACAGGAGAGGACAATGATGTGTCCTCTGTCCCAGCTGTGTATCCGGAGTTCATTTCATGACGTCTGACACCAGAGTATCCTCCAGGTGTGCCTCACTGTCCTGGAGGTACCACGTTTCACTCCTGCCACCACTGGATGCCATGGCCCAACTCACACGTGGGAAGCTGTGGCCCAGAGGGGCTCAGTGACTTGCCCAAGATCACACAGAGGGTCAGAATTGAGGTGAATCCTCTGTCATGTCTGTGCTGGCACAAAGTATAGAAACTGCTTTGCTGATCAGTTTGAGCAGGGACATCCTTTGGATGATGGAGAGTAATGGACAGAGATGAGCAGGCAGGATGTAAACACAGTGCCCAGAGACTGGAGTTACAGGCACAGCGTTGCACTGAGGCAATTTTACAGCTTCTAGCTCCTGAGCAAACTGTCACAAGTCACTTGAGTGCATCTGCACTGAGCTTCACTGTGTGGTAAAACAGGCACCTGCTCTCTCTTCCCCAGCCCAAGCTAGTGACAATTTATGGTTTGTCCTTGCTCTGAATCATCCTTACTTAAATCATCCCATACCACCACACACTGAAGTCCTTGCAGATCAGTAGCATTGTGGATTAAGACTGTTCTGACCCCCTGACGATGCTGATTTATCACTGCTCCCACTCACGTTGTTTTTGTGTCCTCCCCACTGCAGATCTGCGCAGGATGACAGCTGGCTTCATGGGCATGGCTGTGGCCATCATCCTCTTCGGGTGGATTATTGGAGTGCTGGGGTGCTGCTGGGACCGAGGCCTTATGCAGTATGTGGCAGGGCTTCTCTTCCTCATGGGAGGTAAGGATGGTGATCTTTGAAGAAATGCATTTTTCTTGTTATTGTTTTCCCCTCTTTCCACACATTCCTCCTTTTCTAAGTCACTGAAAATGTGGGGGTTTTTTTTATCTGGATTTGGTTTCATTCTGAGCTCCTTCTGGTGCACATCAAGGATCACTCAGCCATAGATACATATAATTTCCATCACAAAACTTGTCTGGAGCATCTGTAACTCATGGTAGTAGAAGGATAATCTGAGTTTTTAAATACAGTACTCCCTTGTTGGAAGTAACACTGTCAGTAAGCTCAGTAATAAAAATCCGAAGATTATCCAGATGTTATTCCCACCACTATCCTATTTCACAGTGGGACACTTTGATACCTAGAAACTGTGCTCAGAGTTATAATCTGTATTTATTACTCATCAGTTGTTCTTGAGTTGAATGTAACCTTTAATTTATATCTTTCTTTGCTGTACCTGTGAAGAGCATTCTCTGTTTTCCCACTTTACATATACTTTCTTATAGACCTCTCTGTAAGAACAATTATCAATCCAGCAGCCCTTTCTGCCACCTGTTCCTGTTTGTACTTGCCTTTCTCAAATATGGATGAGAAGGACCATTCCTTATAATAAATGCCTTGTATAAGTGATGTTGCCTTTCCCTGTTGTTAATTCTTTGCCTGAAGTATTTTGTGGCTGTATTTGTCTTTTTTCATGCTGCATCACATTGGAGATGTGCCCAGAGTCATCCTGCAGCTGGATGAGACATGCAGGCCTTTCTCCACCTTTGTACTTTCCTACAGATGCTCTCCCAATTTACAGCAGAGGTTTTGTTTATTATTCCCCAGGTACATGTCCTGACACTCTATGCTTTTGAACTTCTTCCCATTCCTACCACACCAGCCCTCAAGGTCACCCAACATTTCCCATGTAATGTACCAGCCTTCCTTACTACACATGCCATCTGAATTTCTGATAGCAGCAAATTTCAAGGCACAGTTACTTGAAATGAAGGGTGTGAGAGTCAAGTCCCAAACACAGTGCTGGGTGAATGTCTCAAAGTGAACACCACTACTGTTTTCTCTTTTTTCTGCTGGTGATTTTTGTTTAGCTGGGCTTTTGCCCTCCAGGCAGATCATCACTTCAGTGCATTTTATCATCTGTTTATCTGTACTGTGGTGTGACACAGATCAGTGTGTGACATAGAGGAAAGATTCTGTAGTCCCAGAAGAGGAGTTAAGTGCTGGAATAACAAGTATTTATGTTCTAGTGATGTCGTGCTGGTGACATTAGACACATCAGTTCTCTCTGTCCCCACAAACACATTTGAAATCTGCTAGGACCTTGTGCAAACACACACTGGTCTTCGTGGGGATGTCTGTAAATGGTTTGTTGTGGGTGTCAAAACATTATAGGTGATAGTTTTCCAGATGAGCTTGGTGTTTCCTATTTATTTAAAAGCTGAGTTTTCACAGGGGCTATTTGGCTCTGATCTGCTCAGATATCTGTGTGATATTTAACTTACTACGGCACAATATTCAGACTAAAACATTTAGAGTATACTAAATAAATACAGAAAACTTAAATTTATTAGAAACTAGCTATGTCTTGTTTACTATTCAGAAATTATCATTATATATGGGTTGGTTTCCAGTGCAGCTGCAGAGATTACCTTTTGACTCAGTGTTATTTGTGAGTGGTTTGAAAGATGACTGATAAAGTTTTCAGGTGAAAAGAGATTGAGTTTTAACCATGTGTAGTGGAATGGGTCACTCACAGCTTACAAAGCCATCTTTTGGTGTGCTCAAACAACAAACATTTCAGTGGAGACAGAGCCAAGGTCATGCAACTGGGAACAGCCTCAGTCATCCCCGTGGAACAAGCTGCTCCCTCTCAGAGAGCAGTGGCTCTGAAAAGGTCTCTGGAATCGGGAGTGATGGGATCATCCAGCTGCACAGGAGCTCTCAGTGCAATGCAGCTGCTAAATGTGTTATTTTTTTATGGAATATGCAATGAGACCGTGAGGTGGGGTTATCTCTGGGCTAAGCAAAGCTATTTCTGGACATCCTAATCAGCTGTCAATGCTAAAGGAGGATGGGGAAAGAATGGAAGAGGTTTGCAGAAGAGCTATAAAAATTACTTGTGGTTTGAAAAACAAGAAAAAGACAGCATGCCACAAAAAACCAATTGCTTGAAACTGTTTAACAGAAGGTTTATAATTGACTTGAACACAGAGTGGAAGTACCTATGCAGTGAGAAGCCATCTGATAGTAGCATGCTATTTGCATAGACAAAATAATAACCAGATCCAGCAGTTGGAACCCGAAACTAATTGAAATGAGAGGCACCAGATTATTTTATCTGCCAAATTCTGTCAAGATGTGTAATATTATAAATAAAGATATGATGGGAGGAGATCAAACTTATTTTCTGCTTCAGTGCAGACACATGGATCAGTATTACCCAAAGGTTACTCTCTTTCTTGTTTTGTATAAGTCAATAGCAACTGCTATACTGATTTCTTTTAACAGAAAATGGGCATAAAGTAACATCTACAAACTGAAACAGTCAGTTAATAAAATCCACAACTAGAGCCATCTAATCTAGAAGTCAGTAGCTATCAATGTTTTCAGACTGTGTCATGTGTTTCACAGTCATTTCTTTTACAGCCAATGAGTCTTAATTTAAACTTTTTACAGCTGGACAATGTTTGAATACAAAACTGTTGTTTCTGTCATGCCATAAATGCTGTCAACATAATACTGTACTGTTTCTTAAAATGCATGGAGCCAGAGTGTCTCTTAGTTTTGCCTAACTTTGTCTCAGGTCCAATAATGGGAAAACTGCTTTGGAAGGTTTCTGCCATCTGACCCCATTGCAGCTGAGAGGAGACTGTGTTCAACTGGTATCCACAGAATCAGACTGAAATCTAACCTTCCCTTCCATTTTCAACACCACTTGGCTACGTTTGTAGCATTTGTTCAGTTTTTATTTCTAGACAAACAGCTCTTTTGCAATGCTTAAACATTGCCAGCTTAACATATTTATGGGGTTTGTCCCTTACTGCCCACAGGTTTTTGAACAGGAAATCTCAACAGAGCACTGAGAAGTGTGCTATAATAATCTAATAAGACCAGATGTGGTTTGCTTGGACCTCTGGTTCTTTATTATATTTACCAAACAGTCCCCTTGCTAACCCATGTGGCAGTGCCTCATAAGGACTTGCTTTACTTTGCTTGATCTAATTTCTCAAGCAAATTGCTGAAAAAAGACATTTATGAAATGCAGGCCATTATTTGCTTTTTAGCTCATCCGGAATCCAGGACATGTAAACTGCGATTTAGAGTCTGTTTTACACTGCTGTTCTGCATGTTTTGTAACAAACTAAAAATTATTAATAATTCATCTTTTCTGTTTAGTCCAAATCTATCTGTATCAACAGCAATCAAAGCCCCCTTACAGCTTCCACAGTTCTTTTCCATAATTTTTGGTATTTTTTTGTACCATTTATACTTGGATACCTTCTCTTGAACGACAGTATTTCCCTGACCACTGTAGGATGTTTTTTTTCAGTCCCTCATCTTCTACTGAGCCAGATGTATACTGTAAATCATGTTTAGGACTTTTTATCTCATTTTGCTTGATGGTATTGTTGCACAGCCTCCTGTACCCAGAATTACACTATCTGTTGTCATTACATTCTGGTATTGTCAGTATCATTTTACACTGCAAGGTGGGAGAGTTTCCCTCTTTGAGAGTTCCTCCATTTGGAATCATGCTCTTAAATTTCACTGTGATTAGTTCATTCTATTCATCATACTTCAGACTGTTTAATTCTATCACAAAAGTGGGTCATACCCAAATTATACATGACTCCAAGCACATCCTCTTGCAGGTTCTTGTGTTTTCTCTTCATGCAAATTACTGAGTATCTGTGCACCAGTAAAAACTCCAACCAGTAATTTTTTTAATTTTGTAACAATTTCTGGAATCTTAGGAGCATCCATAACACTGTTTCCAATTGTCAGTCCTGTGGTAAGCATGTTTTCATGTTTATAAAGTACCTAGTCTAACAGGAATTCAGTTAAACATCTACTTGAGGAAATGCATGTGGAATATTTTATACATTTTGTTTTGACCAAAGCAACTTTAATTGCACAAAAACTATGGCTTTTCTTTTTCAAGTCTAGATGTGCCACCTCACCAGTTCCCAGGAAGTGATGCTCACATGTTCTGGCTTTGAGCAGTTCTTTTGAATGCATTCAAATCCTTTACTTGTTTGGGATTATTTTCATGGCAAACCTGTCAATTCTTTTGGTTGGTGTCTTCACTCTCTCGACATTTAATTTAGCCAATATTGTCAATGTCAAATATCAGTTTTAGTTCCAGCTCCAAAGTGCTGAGATGCTACAAATTGGCAAATTGGTAACTACCAGGGCAAATTCCATTGTCTCCAGGAATCCCTTCTCTCAGTTCTCTGTCAGGTCGTTTGTGAATATTTCCTGTATCGTGATCAGCAAACAAGCTGATCCATCTAACCCTAGGTTTTTCTATCTGCTCTCCAGCACATTCATCCACAGGATTTTCTTGTTTCAGCATCTCAGATTCTGCTGGATTTGCAGTCATGCAAACCCAACCTCACCACATTTTCTGTTACTGAGCTTGCTTTATAAAATCGTCTTTAAAAGACAATCTTTGATGTTTTCCCGGGTCAGCTGATTTCAGTCAGCTGTTTTCAAATATCATGTGCCTTGCATTATTTCTAATTTGAGGGCAGGGCTGATTTCGTAGCTAAGTGCTTCAAAGCCCTTTTCCTCCTCACCAGGAAAGTGGGGTGGCTGCCTCCTGGTGGCATGATCCAGTGCTTTGGCAGTGATTTCATCCTCTCCTTCCCCGCCTTGTGCACCTCCCTGCTGAACTGCTGTCTGTTTTCCCAGCTGGAAATACAAAATGGCACTTCCAATATCATGTTCTGGTACTTGCTTCAGCACACAATTATCCCTGGCCAAAGCTACATCAC